GGAGTCTTCCCTTGCCTGCTGTAAGTGCTCCCTCTGCTGTTACGCAGAGCAACTACCAGAAAACCTTCCATCAGCCCTGCGCCTTTATCAAGAGGTGAATTTTCAAACACTCCATCTCGTGAGGAGAAAATCGATACAATTTTCTGAGATTACTTTTCATTATTACTTTCTGCACAAGCAACTGCTGTCTTATTCCACTCTTCCAAAGTATTGATGGTATCATTTAGAATAACAATGCAGCCAAGGAAAAATCCCAAACAAACCCACATTCAAATATCGTGCATTTGCCCTAAGAAGCTTTTTACTATTCTTATTAAGCATACTGCAGAACTCACTCCCTGACTTCTATGTGGATTATAAATCCTAAAATTGAGTTTAAAAAAATATAGATGATGAAATTAAAGACATGTAAGAAAAGTAGTGTTTATTTTAATTTAAAAAGCCTAAAGGCCAAAATCCCTGTTTACATTCAAAATCACTTCTGAAACCCACAAGAGCAACAGAATGACTGGGGAGTTGCAGGCACTGAAGTTAAGGGCAGTTTACTGGAGCAGCACACAAAAAGCACAGTAGATGCAAATCACCACCTGTGGATGCAGAAGCCCTAATTTTCAGAATCAGTGTAAATTCGAGCAGTTTCCTTAGCTAAGAGCAGGCAGGTGTCGTGTCAGTCTGGCTGCAGAGCAGTTCTGGACCTGGCACTGCTGCCCATGTATTTTGCTGCAGCTGCCTGCCCTTGGCTGGGCTCCTGCTGCCTGAGGAGCTGCTGCCCTTGGGTCTGGCCGTGCAAAAAGGGCCTTTTCTGCAAACGCACGGACCCTGCAACCAAGCAGGGCTTTGTTTGTTTTGCCGGGGGCTGAGCAGTAAGTGCTGAGGTTGCAGGTTGCCTGAGAGGCAGCCTATGGGGCCCTGCAGAGTTCTGCCGGGGATGCTCCTGCAGCAGCACAGAGGAAGCTGCGTGTGAGGGCAGGGAGAGCTGTCCCTCGGGCCTGAGCCAGGGACCTTCCCATGGCACAGTGAGCTCACGGGGAAGGAAAGGCTTTTATTCACATCACATTGTTAACTAGGGGCACTGAATCCAAACTCATTTAGAGGCTGCAATGCCGGTTAAAATTTCAGCTTTGACACTTGGTTATTATTTTGCTGTGTTTACTTTCTTCGCTCATTTCCTCCAACAGTCCAAACCCATCCTTTTTGTGATGGGTTGAGATAAAAGACAGGGCTGTAGCTCCCAGAAATAAAAATTGTGCCTTTCTAATCCACTGTTGACTGAGACAGTGAATTAACGCAGTGTTAGAACATTACTCAACAAAAAGAAGTAATCTTATGAAAAATCAAATACCAAGGTTATTATACATTTGTGTATTTACTGCTCCCTTTCCTCACCATAAAAAGCCACAATGATCATGAACAATTTCCTAAAACACTGTGGGAGAGCAAGTGGTGACATTAAAATCTAACCTTTTACTTGAAAATATATATATATATAAAGAATATGTTTTTTTTCCTGTAAGTAGAAATCTGATAGAATGAGAAAACCAAGAAATACTAGAAGAGACGGTAACCTGAAAATCCTGCCTTCAAATTGTCCGAAATATAGCCAGGAGATACAATAACATGAAAAAAATTTGGCATATTTTTATTCACTTCAAATGCTTTTTGTACAAATGTGGCCACAAATATCACGGGTAAACCTGAAATACCTATATTGTAGGACACCCCTGAAAGAACAGCTTGACCTGCAGAAGACGAGGTATCAAAAACAATCCAGCTTTACTGATGTGCTCTGTAACTTGGTGCTGTGGTTTAACCCCCCACAGCCACTCACCACCCCCACGGGGCAATGGGGGAGAGAATAAGAAAACCCACGGGTTGAGATAAAAACTTTCAACACTTGAAACCAGAAGCTGCTTTTTCCTCTTCCACCCCAGAGGAACTAAAGCATTGTCTACCCACACTATTCAGTAACACTTTGTGCTTGCCAAGGTGGTCATAAAGCACGGTTTGAGAAACACTGTTTCAGCAGGATGATGTAACTGTAAGAACAAAGAGGATTTCAGCATCACCACACAAGGTGGTTTAAAACACACAATCTCAGTTTAGAACTGAAATATGGGCTAGAGTTGAAGAACGCTGTTGCTCTCCACAGAAATCTTCCAGCAGAGAGGCGCCCATTACATCAATTTAATACCAGATTGTTCTAGGGGGATGTTCACCAGTTCAAACAAATCTACACCAGATTACAAAAAAGCATCTCTGAAACTTTAATATTTTTTTCCAAACCAAAAATACAGAAAAGACACACTTCTAGAAATTCAAATATGATGGTATCCTATCCCTCATAACGACAAAAACAGAGGTCAAGGGAAGGTATAGGACTTAAGAGTTTAAGCATGTTTTTAGTGTAATTGTGTTTGAAACTGTGGCAATGACATCCACAATAAAACGAAAGAAATTAATATTCTAGTAATTAGTTTTTTAAGCCAAGGAAGGCTGTGGAAATCTTAAATGTGTATAGTTTTTAAGTACAGCATAAGAGAAGAGAGTCTTAAGCAAAACTGGAGTCTGCAATGCTGTGAGAAAGGCTTACGGCAACCAAGATACATCCTTCAGGAGATGTTGATATTGCTCGTTTGGGCTATGCTTGTATTGAATTTAGAATTTAATAAAAGAATAAACTCCATGAATGCATTTTTGGTTGTGTTTTGTTTGAAGGGATTTCCTTTGAAGGAAAGGCAAAGCCTCCTGGCTTGGGAAGGAATGGAGGATGGGGCTGAGGGTCTTTAAAATATACAGTTTTTGAAGTGAGAATACAGAAAATAGAACATCCATGATTTGGGAAGAGCTACTTTAATTAATCAATGGTCAGAAACAGGAGAGAGTTGTTTCTGCGTAGCAGTTACCAGAAGGCTCCAGGAGATGAGTTAATGAGCAAATTCGTATGTTTTTGTATGAAAGAAACAACCGTCCAAGAAACAATCCCACCGACCGCTGCCCCCATCGCCTCACGGCTGCTCCCTCACGGCCGCGGGCCCCATCGCCTCATGGCGGCCCCGCCTCGTCCCCTCACGGCGGAGCCTCCTCTACTCCGTACAACAGTCCCTCCTTGTCCCTCATGGTAGCTTTTCCTCCTCCCCAAACGACAGTCCCGCCTCGTCCCTCATGGTAGCTTTTCCTCCTCCCCTCACGACGTCCTCCTGCTTCGTCCCCTCATGGCGGCTCCTCCTTCTCCCCTCACGGCGGCCCCCCCTTCACCCCCTCATGGTGGTTCCTCCTCCTCCTCCCCTCACGACCGCCCCGCCGCGTCCCCTCGTGGCAGCTTTGCCATCCCCCTCACGCCAGTCCCGCCTCCTCCCCTCATGGCGGCCCCTCCTCTTACCGTCAGACAGTCCCGCCTCGTCGCGTCATGGCGGCTCCTCCTCCCCTCACGGCGCTCCCGCCTCTTCCCCTCACGGCGGCGCGCGGTGCACTGTGGGTCCCTCAGCCGGACTACAGCTCCCAGCGCTGGCGGGCGCGGCTCTGCCGGCAGGGCATGCCGGGAGTTGTAGTCCCGGCGCCCCTGCAGCCCCGCCCGCGGCTCGCCGGGAAACCCCGTGCGCGCGGGCACGGCCCTCTCTGTGCCGCGGCCGCCATTCCGCGAGCAGCGCGGGCACTCCGCGCCCCGGCCCCGCACCATGCAGATCTTCGTCAAAACCCTCACCGGCAAAACCATCACCCTCGAGGTGAGCCCGCAACGCCGCGCCGGGCCGCCGGTGCTCCGGGATGCGCCCGGAGATGCCGGGATGCGCGGGGAATCGGCGGGATGTGCGGGGGAGCAGCGGGATGGTGCAGGGGGAATCCACGGGATGATGCGGGGGAATCGGCGGGATGTGCGGGGGAGCAGCGGGATGATGAGCGGGGAAACGCCGGCCCTGCGCTGGCCGGCGGGGTTCAGGCCGCGCCGTGAGGGCCCAAAGGGCCGTGATAGCACCGGGGGTGTGCCGGGAGCTCCGCGTGGTTCCCCGGCTTTCCTGGGATCATTAAAAGGCGAAGCGCGTTTTGACTCTCCTGTTCTGTTTAATTAAACAGGTTGAGCCTTCTGATACTATAGAAAATGTGAAAGCGAAGATCCAGGATAAGGAGGGTACGTTCAAGAGGCACTTACTCATTATTCTATATTGATAAAAATAAATGATAAATAAATATCATATGTACTATCTATACTATGATATCAATCAAATACTATATTTTTATATATTATATTGATATATATATTTTTTGATTGATATATATCAGTCTTGTGGATTGATGACTGGCACAGATCTAATTTTCTGTAGCAGTCTCCATTTTATTGCAGCATATTACAGTTCCCGTTCCTCATTTATTCCTGGTTTGTGTCCCCCTCAGGCATCCCTCCGGACCAGCAGCGGCTGATCTTTGCGGGGAAGCAGCTGGAAGATGGACGCACACTGTCCGACTACAACATTCAGAAAGTGAGTGGGAGAGGCAGGAGCTGGCAGGGCTGAGTCACCTTTGCTGCTCAGCCCCAAAAATGTTCCAAATGTCATCAAGCAAATCAGTGGATTTAGTGTTGGGTGGCAGTTTTGATGCTGGGGGCTTGGGATGTCACCTCCATAGCAAATAATCCTTTTAGAGCTTTCCTGAGTGCCAGGCACTTGAGGCCTGCTTTCTCTGGATAAAAGGAACAAGTCTGCTTAAATGCTGATCCTGAGCCTATTTCACGTGCTGTCCTAACAGGAATCAACCCTTCACCTGGTGCTGAGACTTCGGGGTGGTGCCAAGAAAAGAAAGAAGAAGTCTTACACCACCCCCAAGAAGAACAAGCATAAGAGAAAGAAGGTTAAGCTTGCAGTGCTCAAGTACTACAAGGTAGGTAGAAATAGGAAACTTGATGAAAACTCAGCTTTCAGCTTGTAGCTGGTCTGCACAGAGCCCGGCCTATTTAATATTCAAAGCCCTTCTATTTGCAAATATCCCATCTGCTTAACGAAAGGGAAACCCACTGTTGCAGTGGGGCACTTCTGAGCTTGGCCTCAAGAAGTGTGATGCATCAACTGACACAAAAACTGCTTTGCCAGTGAAAAATAGCCAAAACTCTCATTGCTTCTGCCAGTGCCTGAGAGATTTTTTTCCCTGCTTGCCCTTGCCAGGTGGACGAGAACGGCAAGATCAGCCGGCTGCGCCGGGAGTGCCCATCGGAGGAGTGCGGGGCTGGAGTCTTCATGGCCAGTCACTTCGACAGGCACTACTGCGGCAAGTGCTGCCTGACCTACTGCTTCAACAAGCCAGAGGACAAGTAAATGTGCCACCCAATAAAGAGTGAACTTCCCTACGGTGTAAGGGTCTCTTTCTGTGGTGCTGTGTTTATTCTCTGCTCGCAAAGAGAGCTTTGGATGCTGCCAACTGGGATGAGATACTCTGGCTCTAAAACTGAAGCAGTGCTTGTTTTAAATAGTAAGGGGTACCAATTACAGAAGGGGGAGGGAAACAACACTCCAGCTAACATTAAAAGTGGTCTCTTGAGATGAGACAGGACAGTAGTTCTGATCTGGAAAAAGAGCTCAGGAGGTCCAGAGTCATGTCTATAAGTGGTCAGTGAAAGGGGGAGCTGAAATATTGTACAGCACCAGCGAGGGAGGGGAAAGAAGATGCCTGGGCTATTCTGGATCCAAAGACAGTGATTAGAAATATTTATACCACAATGGTTTTACACACCTGAAGTGCTTGTAGTTACTCCTGTAGTTTATCCCATGTTCCAGTGACATAAGGTGGTTGCTTGACATGATAGAAAAACAGGGAATTTCAGATATAAATCTGAAATTTCAGATATAAAATTAATCTGAAACGCTCTGATGTAAAGAACAGATCTAAAGCAGCTCCTGTGCACCTCTGACAGTTCATTTAATGTTACCAGGTAAAGGCCAGCCAGGAGTATAATACACATCCCTCCGTGTTCGTGTGTTCAAAGGTCCTTTAAAATCCCGGGTCCCAGGAAGTTGTCTGTTGAACTTCTGTCTCTTCATAACAAATAATATCATCCCCAACTTGGAATTCCAAATTCCTGTCCAGACTCAAGCCACAATCCATTCCCGCTTTTATTACCTGGGCATCATCTTTATGATGCTTCAGCGATGATAAGGATCCTACAAAGAGAAAAGGCATCAGAGGGAGCCCCCCCAGCAGCAGAGCAGGGGAGTGGTTTGGTTTGCCCTTCCTGCACGTTCCATGTTGTCCTGGTGATGGCAATTCCACTTACCTTTCCAAATAACATCCCCCCTGCGGATTAACTTGAACTTCATTTTCCTGTCCAGGAGCCCCTTCTGCACTCTGCATCCAGCCACGGGAATCTTGGTTTTCCCTACTGTTACAGAGAAGGTGTCCAGAACAGAAGCTTCCCCTGAAAGGAAAAAGTTGTGCATGGGATTAACAAACTGGCACTAGGTATGAGCAGGCTGCATTTTTCCACTTGCCAAGCTTTGTAACAACACAAAAGCAGCTGAGAGGAGTATAAAACGAATATTTGATACAACAGGAACACCTCACCGGAGAATAAACTTTAGGTAGGCCACACTGTGAGGCAAAATTGTGTCAGTCAAAGCCAACTCACCTACTGTAGTCTCCACCACAGCTGGGGGCAGTCTGCTATTGAGCTCCTCTTTCAAGTCGTCTATGAGTTTATAGATGATGTTGTGAAGTTTAATTTTTATTCCCTTTTTATCAGCCAGCTTTTTAATGCTGTCATTGGCTTTCACACTGAATCCATATATAACACCTGATAAAGGAAGCACATGTCAAGTGATGACTGAGAGAGATCACACCTTGAACAGCTAAAAGTGAAATCCTGCAGCACAGGGCAGAGCTAATGGTCTGCAAACCAAGAAAAGCATTTTACTCCTGCTCCCCTTTGAAGGAATTTGACTAATTTTACAGCATTTTAGTGCTTCTGCCACTAAGGCACATCAACTGCTACAGACCTCAGATCAAAATAAACGGCCCAAAAATGTCCTCACAGAAAGGTCCCGGGTGACAACTGGGGGGATCAAGGCAGAAGATAACACACACAGCTCACAGAAATGACTCAGACCTGCCATTTTAGGGCTGGAAAAACAGCCTGGTTGTCCAGAGTAAGCTGGAAGTGAATTCTAAATCACTCATGCACGTGTGGGCTCTGGCAGGTCCAGTGACCCGCCCTCTGCAGCAGGGGGGAATTACAGGGTACAAACAGGAAAAACTACTGAGTCAGCCTTAGATCCAGTTGCCTCCCTGAGCAAAAGGAAATAATTTGCTAGCTTACTTTTCAAGCTTTGCCCCGTTTGAGCATCATAAAGCAACCTGAGTGAGCAGTCACAGTTTAATCTTAACAGTTCAGCTACTGGCAACAGCTTTTCCAGAGTCCTCCCACTTCCACGAGACTTCCAGCCTGCACTACTTGGATGTGCAAGGAACCATTGTTAAGATACACGTAAATTTACCTTATTGATGCTGCTAATTATTACTGAGGAAAGAGTAATGAGGCCTACCCATGTCAACAACTGAATCATTTCAGAATTGCAAACTGAACTTCAAACACGCACCATTGAAGGCTTCGGCGAGACTCAGATCGTTTTCGCTGATATCTCCCATCCCAAAGTGGACAATATCCAGTTTACATTCATCCTCACAGTCATAGCTGTCCAGAATGTTCAGAATAGCTTCAACAGATCCATCCACGTCGCCTGCAGGGGGAAATGGAAGCACTGCTGACTTGGGATATAAAGGAACATGGAATTATAACTAAGCACGTGACAACTCCACGCTGTGCAACAGAAAGTCTTTTGACAGCTATCACTCTTACTACATTTTCAGTGGTATGTTAAAATCCATCTAACAAGTCTGTTCATTCCAAAAATTAACTGGATAAATGCAACAGGACCAGAGGCTCCATGTCTGCTGTCATTTTTCGGGTCAAGTTTGCATTGTTTTTCAGCTACTGATGCCACTGCTTGTGTATCACCCACTGTGAGGTCAGACCAAGGTCCTCCTGTCCCCCTTGAATGCACAGTTGTTTTCCATTTTGCTGGTGCACCATGATTACAGCTGGGGGGGGTGGTTGATAATTGAGATGCACAGAGGTTTATGTATGTCTAGATACATTTGCATCGGGGTTTGTATGGACGGGGTTTACCCCTGAGTTCCTGGGTAAGAGGGTTGGGCTTCCAAGTTTTCCTGTGGCTCTGGCCCTGACCAAAGTTCAGCTCAGAGCTGTGTGACAGCAGGGAGAGCACACAGGCCAGGGCACAGGGAGGGGACAGCACCTTTAACGATGACCGACAGCGTGTCCTCGGCCACCTCCCTTCTGTCCTTGGGCCTCTGGAACAGCAGGTGCTTGTTGGCCTTGTACAGCACGGCCTTCCTCTGCCTCCAGGTGAGATGGGCCAGCTTCTGTTGCTGCTGCTTGTACTCCATCCTGTGCTCCTTCTGCTTTGCTTCAATAACCTCCATGTCCTTCTTCAGCTTCTCCTGCTCCTCCACGTAGGTCCTCCAGTCTATCACTTCGTGTGCCCTTTGCTGGGCAGGGAGACAGAAACATCGCCTTTAGAACACCGCAGCAGGAAACTCCACAGGAATGCAGCTCCATCCTCTGGCATCTTCTCTACACGCCACATTTCTTTTCTCCCACCTTTCATCACAGATTTGGCTGCACAGATGGCAGAGACTGAGCACGAGAGCTTCCTCCCTGAGCTACAACACGTTTTTATGGTACTTCTGCATTGCAGAAGAGAATTATCCTTCATCCTTCCACATGGCGTTTATCCAGCTCTCCCAACACCCATTTCAAGCTGTATTTTAGGCACTGTATTTAGTCAGGAACTAATTTTCTCACTCTAAAAGTGAAACACTGTGGAGATGAGGACAGTCCAGCAGGGGAAAGGTGGAAGAGGCAATAAGCAACCCCCTCATTGCTCTTACAGAGCTCCCTGATCCCCATTCTCACCTTTCCTGGGATCATCCAGGTTACTCAGAATGAAAGCTTTCCCTCGCTCTGTCGCTCAGCTCCCTCCCTGCACTGTGAGCTTTCCATCCCACAGTTCTTTCCGTACCTCAGATTCCACTTCCAGGATCTCATCTCCAGCCGAGGGGACGTCCTTCCAGCCCATGATTTCCACTGGGATGCCCGGGGGGGCCTCATCCACAGCCCGGCCGTTCTCATCGAACATGAAGCGCACCTTGGCCCAGGTCTTGCCTGCAACCAGAACACAGCCCTTCCTCAGAGTTCCTCTCTGGATGATGGCTGTGGTAAGGGGACTGGGGAAGAGCAGAGGAGAAAAATGACAAACAGAAGAAAAGTGACGCTTCTCCCCACCTCCACGGTTAGTGCAGGCAAAACACCAACCAGGATGGGCCTGTGATCCATCACAGCCACAGTGTTCCTGCTGATAACATTTTCAAGTGACGTGCAAAGCCCCCAAGAACTGCACTGTGCTCTGAATTTCTGCAGATTGCTCCAAAACTTGGCATTTGCGAGCTCAGCAACAGACTGATTTGACCCACTACGTGAACACCCCAGAAAACCCCAAACAACCAACCCCAACAACTTCCTAGAATTCAGTTAGTTTTTAAAGGGGATAGAACACACCTTGTTCACACAGAACCTGCTAAAGGTCTGAGATATTTAAGAGGACAACGTCATGTCACACATAACTTGCCAAAAACTGTGTATACATTGTGACTGCTAACTTCATCATTACTAATGTTTTAATGACATTTAAAAAATACATCTGTTCTGGCACTTTAAACTAACTCCTGGGCTCACAGGACTTCATCTCAGGGATAGGATGAATTTGTCCCCATCAGTTTAAAACTTCTTTTTCTGGCCCTTGCGCTGCAGAATAACATTTCGAGGCTTTAATTAGAAACACAGCAAAGAATCTGTGACAGCTTTATTTAGGGAGGTGCAAACCCCCCCGAGCAGCATCCCCGTGCTGTCACAGATTGCTCCTCTGAAGCTGTGGAGCTGCAGGTGACTCACCCTTTGCCTCTGTCTTTGCGAGACTCGATGACGGTCCCCTCGACCAGCCCCGTGGCATCCGCCTTCAGCTCCAGCATCTCTGCCAGAGCAACGGTGGCTTCGGCCAAAACCATCAGGTTTTCACCCTGCATCAAACCACACACACAAAAACACACACAGTAAAGGAAGGGCCCAGAAGTTGAAATCTTGGTGCCAAATTCCCCCACTGAAAACTTGATGACATTTACCACCCAGCCAAGACTTCAGGACATCCAAGAGGCAAAACTGTTGGGCTGGGTTTTTGCCCCCACCCCCTTTGTTCTAATTACATCTTGTAAGACCACTATGAAACTGTGCTCCTGTGACTAGGCCTGTGCCAGGGTAATCTTTGTTTACCCTGGTTTGAATTTTTCCCTTCATGCACAGCGTTATCACCAACCTTGCTTCTGCACTGATTTCATACAATGAGCAAACAGCAACTGGCATTAACCCGAAAAACATCCGCTGAACTTACAGAAGGAAGGTGAGATATTATCGTTCCCTAAAAGCCTGAGCCTCAAAATACATTTCAGTGTATTTCAAATAATTCTGGTGAGAGCCAGCAGCACTGATCTCCTGGTGTTTGACACCTCGCCAAGGAGAGAAACAACTTATTTTGCAGCTGCCAAATAAAAATGCATCTCTGTGCACGTATCAGACACCCACAAACACCACCCTCTTTTTCCACCACAACTTTACCTTGAGTGCAGAAATATTTACAGCTTGAACATCACCTCCAAACTCCTCACAGACCACATCATGGGCCAGCAACTCCTTCTTTACTCTTTCGGGATCAGCTTCGGGTTTGTCACACTTGTTGATGGCGAGGATGAGAGGAACTAAAAAGAAGAGGAGCAAACTCAGCACCAACCCAACCAAAACCTGATGTTACCAGCAGAGCTCCTAGAAAAAGTAATGGCCAGCCAGAAGAAACCCCTCCGGGGTGGAAATGAAGAGGTACCTCCCGCGTTTTTAGCGTGCTGGATGGACTCTACGGTTTGCTCCATCACCCCGTCCTCGGCCGCGACCACCAGGATGACGATGTCGGTGACGTTGGTGCCTCGCGCCCGCATGGCTGAGAAGGCTGCGTGCCCAGGAGTGTCCAGGAAAGTTATCTTTTCCCCAGAAGGCAGCTGCACTGTGAACAAAAGGACATGCAACAGCTGAATATCAGCACTTCACCCACCCAGCTTTATTTGATGTAAGCAAGCATCGCTCCTTGGAGAACTACTTTAACACCAACGATTTTAGGCAGACAGATAACTTGGCCTGAAGGTGGAAGGTGCTGCTAAACCCTCAGGAGTGAAAAAGCCCCCTGAGATCTTCCTTAATCAAAAAAATAGTCTAATTTCAATGCAGACCATTCACTTCCAAGCTCCACCTAAGTAATTATGACAGTTATCAGCAAAAGACACACCATGTTACAGTTTCCTTCCTCACTGCTTACATCCAAACTGGTTTAGTGACCACCTTCTCCCCCAGTGGACTGGCAGCGAGTCAGCCAAAGTGAGCTGTGTCATCCATGACCCTGCACAGCTGGACCTTACCCAGAAAAGCCCCAATGTGCTGCGTGATGCCTCCTGCCTCCATCGAGGCCACCTGGCTTTTCCGCAGGCTGTCCAGTAAGGTTGTTTTGCCGTGATCCACGTGGCCCAGGATGGTGACGACGGGGGGCCGAGGGGTCAGCACCGCTGGGTCTGCAGGAGGCCTGCAAGGACAGCACAGATCCCCCCAAAATTCTGAGTGGCAGGCATGCCCACGTGGCTAAAGCAGAGCCACTGGCCAGAGCTCGGTGAACCCCGGTTTTGTGGTTCCTCCTCCTCACAAATCCCAGCTGCACCACAGGCAGCCCTCCCAGGGCTCGGGGCTACTGAATTCATACACTGAATTAATGCAGCAACCCAGGGTATCAAAGAATTGGCTTTTCTTCAGAAAATGGCACAGAAAAAGCCCACCTAAAACAAGTCAAGTAGCAGTTTTATGGCTAACTAAACCAAAACAGTAACCTTCACCTTTTAAATATTATCATATCGTGACTCTATCAGGTATTCTCAACAGACCATCACAACAAAGACAGACAGGACAGGACAAACACCTGCAGGAAGAAATAAAGAGCCAAAAAGAACAGTTCCCAACTTGCCTTTTCACAGCATCTGTGTTTTTCCTTTCCCTTTCCTCTTTCAGTTTTGCTGATTTATACTTCATTCCTGATTTCTGAACAATCATCTTGATGTGGTCTTCATACAAGATGGAATCTGGCTCTAGTGAATCCAGGTCAATGTCTGTGTACAGCAGGGCCTCGTAAATATGGTCTGTGGGGAAAGTAAAGGCATTTAACAAGGACATCCACAAAAACATGTGGGGCAAAAAACCCAAACCCAAAATCCAGACAGTGTAAGAGTTTGTCATTAGTGGTTTATATCGTGCTATTAAGTTTCACTCACAAAGCACTTTTCCTTTAGTCAGATTTATCTGAAAGTTCCTGTTACACCACACACTTGCAGAGAAGAACTTGATGCTGAAGGATTTCCAGAACCTGAGTCCCCTATCAAATGCTAGAATCTTATTTTCCCCTCAGATTTTCACACCTTATTTTAACGTTTAACCCCCTCAAAAAGAAAGCAACGGAAACTCATCTAAACCAAACAGCAAAGGAGTGATTCAAGGAGGAAGGAAATTTGGTGATTCAGAGCCTTTGCTGCTTCCTTTGGCAGCAGAAACACAGAACCCATTGCAGTGGTGAGAAATCATTACGTGCTGACCTAGGGACTGTCACAAATCTACCTCAGAAAGGTATATCAAGACATGACAGATTTTCTGCTTCTCACTGATGAGAGGGAAATCTGCCAGAAAAAGTCCCTGGCTGGGCAGGAAGAGTTTGGGGATTGGTGTTACACTGGTGCAGAATCATTTCAAATGTCAAGAGTCAAAATATGCCAATAACCCCCCAAAAACATAATTTAGAACTGGTCAAGCAGAGCCACTACACAGCCAGGAGTGTGCATGGGGTCACAGGAACAAACCTGCTCCTGTGACTCAGTTGCCTGGGCACTCACTTTAAAGAGGGAAATGATTCCAGACAAGCCTTGCCCACTCTCTGCTAGTTAAACCACTGTTCTAATGAATATGACTTGTTCCTGGACCCCAGATCCCTCCTCCCAGGGTTGGATTCTGGGCTGAAGCTCCTCAGGCCTGAGTTTTTAACTCCCAGGGGTGCAGCTCTGGCAAACCAGGGTGCAGTGCTCTCCTTCCCCAGTAATTCAGCCCCCGGGAGCCCCAGGCATGAGGAGCTGCCCACCCAGATCCTTTCTGCTGGAGATGGCACTGGTGATTTGGAAGGCCCAGCTTCTCTTTAGTCTGCAACTGCATCTACCAACAGCTCCTTTAGGATGGAACAACCTCCCTGGCCAAGGGAGGGATCAACAAGCAGCATCCAACCCCACTGAGGACACCTTTGCCTTTCCCACTCCTGCCAGAGGTGGGACAGCTCGTGCTGCTCCAGACCCCAGAGCAGCCTCTCACCGATGTCTTTGCCCATGGCTCGTGCCAGTTCCTCAATAGTCATCTTCGGCCTTATCTCCACTTCCCCTCTCGTCAGCGGGATCTTCTTTTTCTGCTTTTTTCTCTCCTACATGGAATTAGACACAGAGCCGGCATAAACTGGGGAATGACAAAAACAATAGCAGAAAGACAGTGGTCCCAAGCCATAGGAAGTGAACACATCCTTTTCTACTACAGCGGCAATGAATTCAAATAAGCAAACGACTTTACACGTCATAAGGGACATTTAAAACGTACAGCACACAGCACACTCTTTTTTCATTTCTTATTTATCAGATTAAGGGCAAAGAAGGTAACAAAATAATTTTAATTTTTTGGTTTTCAATAAAAAAGCCTCCTGGGCTGTGGCGGTTACCTCCTTTGTGGCCAGATGTCTGCAGTGTGCCGAGGCAGCCCCGATCGCTCTGTGTCTGTGCCAGGGCTGTGGGCGCAGCAGGACGGGGTGCAGGGGGTGTGCAGGGGCCTGCACGGGCGTCCAGGGTGCCCCCCAAAGCCTCCTGCAGGACAGGGCCCGGAGCTGCCTGCAGGCACCACGGAGCTGCACCAGGCTCTCCAGCCTCAGCACCAGCCCTCCGTTCATCTCCTCACTGCAAACACAAAGGGCACAGTGAAACCCATCCTCCCTCGGCACAAAACGGACAGGAACACAGAGCACAAATGTTATGTGTCCAACAGGCTTTTTAACACTTAAAAAAGTGAACTATTTAGCAACTGTTCCAGTTTCCTTCAGCACTGCCCCTTTCTCCACACAGATCTACTAAGAGCTTACAGATGTTTCTCCACTGATCTATGATATAAAATACTAAACCCTCCCTTTCGGGTTCTTTGACGTCTGCTACAAGAAAAGGGAATTTGCACTCTCTATGCTACCCTGACAGAATTACACAGGTGCACCCTACCTGTCTAAGCCAGTGAAACACCTGCAGAATGCTCTTTACCTGAGCATTTGAAGAGAGAAGCACCAGTCCGAGAGCACAGCACTGCAGTAACACCAGAGCTGTCGTGTGGACACAGACATCCCCTGAGGCTAAACCCTGGCTCAGCAACTAGGCTGCCCAGGGTTCCTCTGTCAGATCATCCCACATCTTGTTTTAACCATCTTAGCTTTGGTTTGAGCCATTCTGCTAATCATCCCATACAACGGTGCCCTCCTTTGAACTTCTCCTGTTGCTCAGAGCTGCCAGTTCTGCGCTGGCACAGGTTGCCCAGAGCAGCTGTGGCTGCCCCATCCTGGGAAGTGTCCAAGGTCAGGTTGGACGGGGCTTGGAGCAGCCTGGGATGGTGGAAGGTGAGGCAGGGAATGCTCTGGGCTTCCCCCAGAAAGGCTGCGAGGCCTTCAAAACCTCCCTTGCACCCGCAGACCTGCGGGAAGTGACCCGACGACAAACCAACCAGCCAACCAACCAACCAACCACAACCAACTACTTCGGGGTTTTTTTGCTCCCTTAGAGGGGCTGAACCCGAGGAGTCCCGGAGCCGCCACAAGACGCTGCCCACACACTCAACCAACACAAGGTCAAGGTCCCACCGGCCCAGCGCACATCGGGGAGGCCCCCGCGAGGCTCCGGCCCTGGAAAGCCCTTCCCGGGGGGAGCACCCGCCGCCCTCCCGCCCACCGCCCCGGCTAATCCATACCTGTCAGCCGCAGCCCGCCCTCCCCGCGGTGCCGGCGCCCTCCTCCGAACGCCGGGCTCGCCCACCCACCCCGGCCCTGACAGCGCCGCTGAGGGAAGGAGGCGGGGGAGGGACTGAGGGAAGAGCGGGCCCCGAGGAGAGAGTGCGGGCCCCGAGGACACCTCTCAGCCCTCCCCCGGCCCGGCCCGGCCCGGTCCCTCACGGCCGGCGCGCCGCTCTCCGCGCACGCGCCGGGGGGGCACCGCGCACGCGCAGCGCCCGAACAGCCGGGGGCGGGAATTCCCCTCACGGGCCGCGGCCGTTCCGTGCTCATCCCACAGGGTCGGGATTTGGTTTTTAAACGTATAGATGAGTGGTAGAAAGTGTATATATATATATATATATATACACACACGCATATATAAAAAAAATTTCGTTTTTCTCCTCCCAGGAGCTTGTAGTTTTTTAGACCGCCGGCCTAAAGCTTTCAACACGGCTCGTTTTTCGGCCCCGTCTAATTTGGCGTCTCTAAATCAACGCCACTTAAGGGGCCGGGGAAAACAAAAATCTAAGAGGAAGGTCTATAAGTGAAAAACCCTCGATGTTCCCTGTTTAATGAGGGTTGTAAGAGCCGGACATAATCCCAAGGGTCCGCTCGGGACAGCGCTGCAATCCTTATCCAGACACTGGGAACTGCGTGTCATGGCCAGAAATTCCCTGACGTACATTTGAGCTTTGCATTTTACACGCTTTGCCCATAAAGCAGGGCCTGGGGTAGTTCACACAGGTAGTTTTATACCCTCCAGAGCAGCACCTACGTGTTTTGCTGCCCTCAGTACCTCTATTACAAGTGTTTGCTCATTTGAAAAAAAAAAAAAGTGTTTTGAATTTCTAAGGCAGCACCTGCTGGTAAATGCGCCAGGTACTGACACCTTGAATTGCACAGGGCCCTTGAGTGTTTCTCCACAGGGAAAACGGGAAAAATTACCTCGAAAACAAACCATAGTACAAAAAAAGTGCTTAAATATCAAAGTTGTGCAAATGCATTAAAAGCTATTCCTGCACAGGGCCAGCGTGGAGCTGCCAACCAGTCCCCTGCTGAGGGCAACACGTCCTGGGACTGCCTGGGATTGACCTGAAAAAGGTTTGGTTGGAAAGATAAAATTTAGCGTGCGAAACAGCCATCAGAGTTTACAGCAAATCTGCTTTTTGAGTTGATCTTCTGTTGGATGCCGCCTGGAAACCTTCCCGTGCGCCGCTGTAAGGCTCTGGGAATTAGTGTGGGATCATATTTTACCTACATGTCTCTTAACCACAGAGTTACCCTGTTTTCATTTAAAGCTTTATTACAGATTGCCCGTTTTTCTGAAGGGCAAACTGAAAACAAATAATTATTGATGTCCTAAGTCGGGCCATTGGTTTGGGTTGGGTTGCAGAAATATTTTCTGCTGAACTCTGTGGCTGTTAACGCTTGGCTTTGTCCCTTAGTTGCAATTCCTGATTATTATTGGTTGCCTTTAAAAAAAAATTAAAAAAAAAAAAAAAACAGGTGTCTCATAAAGTTTACCTTACTTTGATTCTTTTTTTTAGCTTCTAATTTTTCTTAACTTCCTCATTTAGCAGCAACGTTTTCAGCACAATATGTGAGCAACGAGCCAGAACCTAAAATTACAGTAAGGGCACGTAGATAAAAATGAACAGGTTAATTTAATCTGAGAGAAAGATCTGGCTTGAAGCCGACATTAAATACAGTTCAGAGTGGATGCGTGTCGGAGCAGCGTGTGATCTTGGAGCAGGAGGTGGTTTTAGGAGACATGACCTACCTTGAGCTGCGCGGGAGGGGAGGTGCGGGTGCGATGGGGACCTCTGGCAGGATGCTGAGCCCAGGGGTTGCTCCTGAGTGATGTCAGCTCGGGTTTCTGGCATTGCCCCGTTCCCGCGGTCGCTGCTGGGCGGGCTGCTGCGGCGGAAGGGGCGGTGGGAGGCGATGGCGGCGGGGCCGGAGCTGCGGGAGGCGCTGGAGCGGCGGCTGCGGGAGCTGGGCATCGCCACCGTCACGGCAGAGCACCCCCAGGTACGGCACAGTCCCCGGGGAAGGCGGCAGGGAGCCCGCCTGCAGCCCGGGCACGGCACGCAGAGGAATTATCAGTGGGGAACTTCCAACGCGGGGCCTGGCAGGACGTTCGGGGGGGTTGTTCTGGCATCGCACTGACTGCTTTGGCCTCCAGACTCCCCCTTTCCCCCTCCAGTTCCTCAGCAGTTGGAGGAGCTGCGATCCATTCCCCCTCCTCCTTCCCCTGACATCTGCAGTAGCCAAGCCGCTTTCCAAACTTTTCCTCGCTCCCACGCCACGTCACTGCCGCGCGTGTGCAATGGGGCTGCAAACAGCACCCCCAGAGCTGCCTTACAGTGAGATAGTGCTGGATGGCGACACAGAAATCATCCAGCAGCAGCAGGCTGTTACAGCCCATTGGTGCTCTGTTCAGATTTCCTCATAAAAGGGGGGGAAAAAAGCTTTTGGGCCAAAGGGAACATTGGGTATTTTCGAAGGGGTTAACAGAAGGTACCTGCCAGGACACAGCAGGGAGTCTGATGGGATACAGAGTCTCACACCGCACTGGTGCTGTTTTCCAGGTGTCCACTGTGGAGGAAATGATGCCCCACGTCCAGCACATGAAAGGAGGCCACAGTAAAAACCTGTTTCTTAAAGACAAGAAGAAGAAAGGGTTCTGGCTGGTGACCGTCCTGCACGACAGGCAGGTCAATTTGAACGACCTGGCTAAAAAACTGGGCCTTGGCAGTGGGAACCTCAGGTTTGCTGATGAGAGCTCCATGCTGGAAAAGCTCCAGGTGGGCCAGGGCTGTGCCACGCCACTCGCCCTCTTCTGTGACCAGGGGGACGTGAGGCTGGTGCTGGACGCTGCCCTGCTGGAAGGGGGCCACGAAAAGGTGTATTTTCACCCAATGACAAATTCTGCAACCATGGGATTAAGCCCTGAGGACTTCTTGAAGTTTGTGAGATCAACAGGCCATGACCCCATCATCCTACACTTCGATGAAGATGTTAGCTAGAGGAAGTTCACTTTTCTACGACTAGACATAGATTTGGTAAACTGGTGAAAATCTTGTTACAAATAAAACTTGAAAAAAAAATTACTCCTTTTTCATATTTTTTTCAATCATGTAAATTTATATTGGATAACCTGGTGAGAAAAAATACCATCACTGACTTATTAGAAGTTCAGCAATGTTTTTAAAAAGACCTTTGCAATCTGTATGCACTAAGTATAAACTTCAGTATAAATTAACTTATGTTTGCACTAGGTAACTAGTAAGTATAAAAGGCATTATTTAAATAACTTTATAATCTTTGTTAATGAAACAGATAAAACTGGAATGGCCTTGAAGGTTTAAACTTAACACAAAGAGAGGGGAGCAGTGAGAGTGAGGGATGGAACCTGAAGGTGATGGGGGGTGAAGGCTTTTGAGTGCAGCCTGATGAAAATGTCACACAAACCATGGCTCCAGGGCAGCCAAGAGCATCAGCAGCAGCTCAGGTGAGCAGAAATCAACCCCCAGGAGTGCAAATGAAAACATCCAAGGAGCTGTGATCTTGGAAGAATGAACAATTACTATTATCTGAGTAAGAAGTGTCTCCTAGGGCAAGGCAGGTTCTTTCCCCCTCCTCCTTACCGTGGTCTCCTGCATTTTGGAAGGATCTGGCACCTGTTCTCAGAGCTCCTCTGCTGACAGAACACTCACCATCCAGCAGGTCAGAGTCCTCCCTGCACCTCGTCAGACTCCAACCAACCCCAGCTATCGCTGGAGTCATCCCAGGGGGAATGAAGGGACCTGAAAATGCTGCAGCTGGAGGAAGAGTCACTAGAAAGATGTCCAGTAACATCTTACCCTCTGCCTGTTACTCTCCCTCCCACTAAAGGATTTTTTCTTTCTTCTACCCCCAAATCCCTTTTCCCTTATTAAAAAATGAGTATTAGATTTGACTTGTCAGGAGTTTTAAATCTGCAGTATTTTGAATGTGACCAATTGATTTAAAGGCATGTGCACAGTCCTAGAACCTGCACTGCCTGAAGTGGAACTGTTTTCGACCCCAGGGGGGATCCTGAGACTTGGCAAAAATAACCCCCACGCAAAACTAAAGCTTCAAATACTACATTTGTCAAATCTATAATCATTTCCTTTTGTCTTTACTTACGAAATTAGTGTTGTTTTCTTTTTTTTTTTTTTTTAATAAAAGTATCAAAATAGTGTACAGTTACAAGCTACCCAGGTCTACACAAATCCCCCAGAACAAACTACACACGGTCCAGAAAAATTCTGCTACAGTTTTATCAGTTTTTTCCTTCCAGAAGAAATACTCACTGCACACATCACCGACTGACCACGACACCAACACCCTGCCAGTAACATCAGTTTCCAGAGAAAGTGTGTATGAACATACACACGACAAAATAAGAATAAAAATTATTTGGTTTGGCATTTTAATAACATCATTAATAAATGTATACAATGGCGAACATTAAAAAAAAAATCAATATGTAAAGGAAATTACAGTTTTAAATAAGAGCTTTTTAAGTTCTGTTCCACACCTAGGTACATTCCTTTAAGGCAGTTTTATTAATATCAAAGCATTATTTACATATACATCATCAGCTACCTCTAAAAAAAAAAAAATAAAAAAACCCAAATGACACATGAGCTCCTTTGTTAGGCTGCATCATGTCCTGGAAAACGTTTAGAAACAATAACAACACGTGTTGGGAATGTTACTAAATCCTCACAGACTATCAGAAAAGCAAATAAAACATAGAACGGTGTAGCACAACCACCACCTCCTTCCTACCCTGGGCCTGGCAGCTCCGGGGGGACGATGCTGGGTGTCCAGCTGCTGCTTCCCTGAGACTCCCTGCTCCAGCAACTCACAGCTGGCTCCCACCTCTGCTTTTCTACTTCATTTCAAGGGCACACACGGGGAAGATGAAGGAAGGAGAAAGCCAGCAGGAAGCGGCAGATCCCAGCCCCTGCTGACTGCTGCACTGTCCTGGAGCTCCTCTGCAAAACAAAGCGCTGGGAGAGGAGCAGATTGGAGCCCTGCAGTGCTCCTGGGCCTCTGCTGCTGCTGCTCATTTGGCAAATACCACCCAACATCCCACCCCGGCCTTCGCGCTGACAAAGGGGGTCCAAACCCACTTGGGATGGCACAGAGGGGCCCTTGCAGCACTCGGGCACCCAGAGCTGACCCCCTGGGGAGAATCCTGCCCCCCAAATCCCCTGCAAGGAGCACCCACGGAGGATTTGGGATGGGGCTCATTTCTAGTCCAAGGGGTGAGTTAAACAGCAGCTGGAAAGTTGGTGACAGGCCCTGGCTGGGACCCCAGAGGTGCTTTGAGAAGGTGTAACACTGCAAAAAGCAAAGTGTGGAAGCTGTGAGGGGTAACCTTGGACAAGCTGAGGCCTCCAGAGCTGAGCTGATCCATGAGACACACCAGGGGATTCCTGTGAGATGGAAACAACACTCCTGAAAACAGTAACACTGTTAAATGCTTTGGGTTTGGGGGTTTGAACTGCGTCAGTCCTCTGCTGCCAGTGAGGTGAACCCAGTCACAGGCCCTGAAAGGAGCCTGAACACACTGTGCTTTAGAATTAAAGAGCTATTTCCCAATATTTATGGTCTTTGAATTCTCTTTCGTACCCGCCACGCCTTTAGAGTAGATCCTTTAGCCCATTTTAGCATAAAAAATAATTCAGAAGGAATTTTTTTTTAAAGAAAATTTTAAAGAATTTTTTCTTTAAAGAAAAAAAAAAGCAAATCAAATGTCCCCTTCTGAAGCTTATTGAACTTGCCTCGTTTTTCCCCTCTTTGACGGGATTTCATGCTTTTGGATCTGCTGAACTGCACTCAGCAGAGTCAGGCTCCCCATCCTGAGGGAATGGGGGTGACCTGCCTGTTGGACACTGGGAGGTGACACAGGGAACGTAACCTTCCAAACAGGGAACAGGAATGTGCTTATTGGTTTGAATAACATGTAACAACTCCTTCTGGATCCAAGCTCCTCTCCATTTCCTCCGAGCGAATCTTCCCAGACACGAACGTGTGCAACCACCCGACGTACCAAGAACACCTGTCGACTTTAATATAAACCAGTAACGAACAGAACGGATCTGGTAAGAGAGAACCTTCAAGGGAACTGATTGTAAAATGCATGTGATATTATTTACATTTCTTTTTTGCCATCAAGAAACCTCCTAAGCCACAATCAGCTCATGTCGAGAGACGAACAGTAAAAAAAAGAATTGGTCGATACACAAAACATCGTCAGACAGTCACAACCCGGAAACGGCATTTGTGGAGAACAGCCTTAATATTAAAATAAATGTGGTAGAAAACGCAGGCCTGACAACCTCCTGCCAGAAACATCCCAACATACAAATGCAGAGTAACCCGGGAAGGTGGAAAACACAAAGGACAAACAGTTTCTCTAGAACACCATTATCCCATCACTCCCACTTCTGGTAGCTCCCCAGCTTTCCCATGGATGTAAACATTTTTTTTTTCTCTTGCAGTATGCAACAAAAATCAGCATAAACTTTCTTTTTTTTTTTTTTTTTAAGAGCAATTTCATGCAGATAACGCAAACCAAATAAGGCAGTGAAGTGCCAGTAGCTGTGAGGTTTTTGTATCTGTACATACAGTCCATTTCAACAAAATACTACAGCATTTCCTTTAGATTTACAGACGTAAAGAGAAACTGCCAGTTATGGGGGTTTTTGGCTAATTATTAGCAGAAGCTTAAGCAAATCAGTGGCTAATTTCGAAAACAGAAGATGAAAGAAGCATTTTTATTTTTTTAAATTTTTTTTTTTTTTTTCCCCTGGAGTAATTCTTGAGACCTTAAAATCCTCGGTCCTTAGGGAGATGAGAACTGTCCTTTATTCAGTAGATCTCAACAGTGCAATGTGCAATAATTCCTAAGCCCATCTACACATTTTCGGCAGTAGACTCCAGTAGAGCTCCTTGATTCAAGGAAGGAAGGAAGGTAGGTAGGTTTTTATGTCTCGCCTGCTCTAGTCACGAAGAATGTACAAAATTCCCTCAATTATTTTTTTGTTTTGTTTTGTTTTTATTAATGACTCCTACAGTCGCTGTCTTGTTACTTCAGATATAAAGGCTTCACACTGAGATACTGAAGGACACTTTTTCTCTCTGTGTGCGGTCGAAAGGCAGAAGAAAGAGAAAAGAACGTGAGAAAAGCGGCAGGTGAAGAGGCACAACACAAGAGGTCAGAACTCACACAACTAACAGCACTAGGGCATGCACCACAGGGAGCTCCACAGCACACGCAGCCAGCACACAGAGCCACGGATTTGGGATTCACCCACTGCTCCCGAGGATTCACCTGCCCCCTTGCTAAGAACTGACTTCGGTGCTGGCTCTCAGCGGGATTCCTTTGTACCTTCTTGGTGGGAGATGTGGAAAAAACGAAAGAAATGGCATTTTTACGGGCAAAAGGCTGAACGGGACGAGGCTCCCTCCTGAGGAGGAACCCGCTGGAGGGCCACTAGTCCTGGCCTAACTAGTCAGTCCTGGCCTAACTAGGCAGCCCTGGCCTGACCAGTGAGCGCGAGAGAAGCCCGTTAAGCAAAGCGGTATTTACATCTGGTTAATGCAATGTGCTCTGGGTCTGAGATGTAATGCTGTTAGTTTGTTGTAAATGAAATTCATCTCATTTACAGTCTGGGCAGGAAACTCACCACTTGGCCCCACAGCTCATGTAGTGGGGAATAGAATTAGGAGCTTTGTTGCTCCCTAGACCTGCTTTTTGAATTTCTGCTTTCTGGGATAGCTTCCACATCTGCAGAGAAAAGCATTTCAGGTTATTCATTGTGTTTATCAGGACACCAAAAAAACCCCTCATGCATTAAACACATTCTACTCATTAGGAGAGCAAAAGGATATATAAACACTTCTTTGCTGTTTTTAAGAGGAAAGGACAGAGGAGAGGGACAGAAGAAACTCACTGCAAGTGCCTACTCGGCTGCACTCACTGACGTTTCCCCTCAGCATTTAGAACTTCCAAAGCACAGTCAGACAGATGCCACTTTTAGCCACACCAACCCTACGTGTCTGCACGTATGGAAAGGTAACAACGATGAGATGCAAGCCCAGCTGACTGACCCTAGCAGAGAACTCCCCTGGCTGTACCCTGCCCTGCTGCAGGCTGGCAGAAACATTCCCATCCCATCCTGCAAACCAGGAAAGGCTCTTTGCATGCGACAGCCGGAACGTGCAAAACGCAGGGTGTGGGTTCCCCGCTCACTGCCAGCAGAGCACCAGGCAAAGCCTGCACTGGCAGCACACTGCACAGCACAACCTTCCTGGCCAGCAGCCCCCTGTTTAATCAGGGCCATGCACCCCCAGCTGAGCAGACCTCAAGGCAGCAGGGATGGGAACGAGCCAGGCATCCAGCCACGTGTTTCACAGCCAGCCACGTGCACAGCTCAGCAGCAGCAGGGGTTGGGAAAGGAGGGAATTCCACAGCTCCCTCCACTGTTTCAGCATAAACCAAGAGGGACACCCACAACCTTCCTTGTTCAAGTGTAAAGACCAAAATGCAGGGAAAACCTGATCCTTCTGTCCACGAAAACATTTGCTTTCTTTCGTATCCAATACACAGATGTTGTCAGTCGTTATTCTGAGCACCGAACACTCTCTCACAGAACACTTCCACCGCTGCTGATCCACAAATTTATAAAGCAATGGAAAGCAGTGGCTGGAGCTGGACAAGCTCCTGGAGATCCCAGACACCGGTGCTGCAGGACACTCCTGCAGACCTCATTCTGCCCACAACAAGCAGAGTCTCTCTCTGCAAGGCCCAGTACGAAAACAACAGCTCCTGGCAGCACAGTGGGAGTTCATACCAAGTGCTCTGAGAGCCAAGATGGCAGTTCCTTAAATAACTTATCAAAAGTGTGGTGCACGCGCTGGGACACCAGCGCTCCTCACCTCCAGCACAACTCCAACACATCTGCAGGTTAACGGCAGGGAAGGCAAACCACACGAGCCAAGAGCAGGACACCGATCCCACAGAACGCCTCTGGAACAGGCAATATCCTGCCCTCACTCCCTTTCCCCACCTGGACGTGCAGGGCTCCCTCTCCTGTGCCAAGCAGAGCCCTCACATGGAACAGCTGCTGCTCTTCCCTGGGGAGCTGTGGATTCCCTGCCCCTCCCGCTCAAGCACTCAGGAGTTAACGCTGGGCCCACAGAGCAGTTCTGTGAGTGCCACAAGGCTGCTGCAGAATCAGCTCGGGCTAAAAAACACTCTGTGACATTGCTTATCCTCAGGATTTAACTTTCACTCAGGTTTCTCGTAAGGGATGTAATTCTGGCTCCCACAACTGGCCTGGCTACGTCCTCTGGCAGAGAAGTGCTTGTGTCTGAAGCCTCAGGCAGTTACTGCTGAAGTCTGCTACAGTTTCAAACTGTTCATATTTACCACTGAGAACTTTCAAGCGCTTGCAGAGGCAGTGGCATATTAAATAATAACTTCAACATTTCTCTTCAGCTGCTCATCTGGGACTTGAGGAGTTATTCCCTGAAGCACTCCTATCCTCCCAAAACCTTGCAAGCAACTCGGTTATTCTTTCTTTCATTTAACTGTGCTAATTTAACATTTTTTCTGTTCTTTTGTTACACCGTCTTGTTTTCTGCTATATCAATGTTACTTCTGGTGAGAATTAAAAATGGATTTCCACCACGCTCTAGATAGGATTTTATTCCTACACATCACAAGGATTTGTTATTATCTGTTATTTGACTCCTGATAAAACCAAAGCCTTCCCCACAGCTGCAGCCCAGACGTGGAAAGGCAGAGCAGACCAAAGGGAAAAGGTGGAAAAGGCCATTTCGTCACGACAAGTGCTGGGTATCATGTGACTATTTATCACCTCTTCAAAAGAATTACCATTTCTGTCCAGGATTATGAATGCTCTCAGTAATTGATATTTATTGTGCAAACTGGAGGCACTGAATGATCAGGCTGTGATTCGTTCCTCGTGCGTTTATGCCAGGACGGGGCATAAAGGGAAAGGGCAAGAAGACACCGAAACATCTCTAAATGCTTCTTTTCGTTTTTCAAAGGGGGGAAAAAAAGCGTTTTTACTCCAAGTGGATGATCCATCCACGTGTTACCGACCCCCCTGAGAGCTGGAGCACAAGTGTCAGCACCGTCCCCTCCCGGGACGCGGCATGCGGGTGGTTTAACATGCAGCAGTGACCCCCAGGAGAGCAGCCCGCTCCTGCCAGGCGTGACACACACCAGCACAGCTCGAGGACGGAGGCATGCAGAACGTACACAGTGCAGTCAGGGTTTCATGCAGGCTTTGGTGGGGTTACAGGTCCACATTCCAACATGCCACAGTCCACAGCCCGCGGGACACAACCACCCACGGACTGAGCAGAGAGGCTCTGTTCGCTGGAGGGGAGTGTGCTCTGAGATCCAGCGGGCACGGAGAACACCCCTACGGCACGTCAGACTCGTACGTGTGTAAGGACACAGCCTCCTCCTCACACACAGCCATACTCGTACCACAGGGTCTGGTTATCCTCCGACACCAGCAGCGGGGGCTCGGCCTCGCCCGTGCTGGCACCGGAGGCAGGGCCGGGCTCCCCGGGCAGGGCTGCCCGAGGCTCGCCCTGGGCAGGGCTGGGAGCGGCACGGGGCTGTTCCTGGATCCAGGGCACCGACCTAAACGCCGGCGGATTTGCCCGCTCGGCTGCTCTGGAGGTGGATCTCAGGGGCGCTCCGCTGATATTACTGACTAACTCCGTGTTCAGGGATAAGAACGGCTGGGGCACAGGGAAGGATCCTGCGCTGCCACGCCCAGATCCACCGACTTTATCCCAGAACACGCTCGCGCTCGGCAAAGTCCTCTCCCCACAACTCGGCCCTTCCGGCCCGGAAGCCTCGGAGTTACATCCCAAATTACGCGGCGAGGCCTCGCCCTGCGGGACACCCCCTGCCCTGTAGGGCACCCGGTGGGCACAGGGGGAGGAGAACCCGTGTGCTGAGTACTCACTGGAGCCGGGCGGAGCGCTCCTGTCGGCCGCGGGCGCCGCCGGATCCACCGACACGGGCGGCCGACTGTCCTTGGACAAAAAGTCATGGATGCTCGTCCTGCGGGTGGTCCCTTCCGCCGTGGAGATGACGCTGCTGGCGCGAGGTAAGGTGGCGTACGGGTTGCAGTCCCTGGACGGGCGCTGCGATGCAGCCGCCTGCAGCTTGTCCTTCGCCGCCCGGGCCTTGCCGGGGGCTCCGGGTGGGACTTTGATGGGGGAGCTGCTCAGGTAGAGATCGTCAGTCTTACGGAGGCCGGGCCTCACCAGCTGCTCCGGCCTCAGGGACCGGCCCTCGCAGAAATCCACCGTGGTTTTGACGCTCAAGGACCTGACGATCCCACAGCCGGCGCCCGGCTGCTTCCGGAGCCTCTCCCGCCCTGCCAGCTCCGCAGACTCAGACAGGCTCCTCATGACTTCATCCAGAAGGTTCTCTTCGCTTGCGGATTTCATCTGTCAAAGCCAGGAGACGCACATTTATGATTTCATACCATGCTGTGATTGTTAATCTTTACCTTTCCTTAAGTGATCCTTGTGGACGCAAATGCAGAACAACCCTACAAGGATTATTAGATTTTTTTTGATTTCTCAGCTCTAAAAGCAGTATTAAACGTGTACAATACACACACACTTTAAACCTAAAAATCCTTGTCAGGGAGGCCACAGGTGAGAGAGATCATTGCAAGTATCCAACAAAACAATGTAGAATCTCCTCCAGACCCAAGTCTCTGTCCCAGACAGCCCCAGTGAGACCAGCTGGGAATGTGTATTTTCCCATGTCACTTGTGTCATTTAAATAAGACAGAGCCTGACCCTTTCTCCTGAGAGGTCCTGGTCACAGTGACTGCCTGGCTTTATCCTACAGCCCTTCTGGGTTTTGGGCAGATCTACTCAAGAACTAGGGAGGAAGAAAATGGAATACCAGCACAGAAAAGGTGATCTGGGGCGTCTAACAAACTGCCACTGCTTTACAGAAACATTCTCTTGGTCTGACTCCTCTCAAAGAGCTCCAAGGTTGCTTTTTGTTTCCCATTAATGTTACAAAGACAAAACTGAAGCAGACAAGAGTCTCCTCAGGGAATGAAGCCGACCATCTTCCTGGCTGTTGATGCAGGGCAGAGCTGACAACAGCTCCTGCTGAACAGATGTGCTGCACTGGAAGTGTGGCCTTCCCCCTGCACTCCCAGTGTCCCAAGACACCAGGGACAGGACTTCCTCACAACCCTGTAATTCCAAACTACTTGGCGTGCGGTGCAGCAGGTGCTGCACCAGGACAGAAGTGACCTCAGAATGCAGGAGTGAGTAACAGCTCCACAAAGCTTTACAGCAGCTCTACCCACCGTGCCCGGCACTAACTGAGCCCATGTGGGGGTCACTACGTAGCCAAAACCCCCTCCAGACTGACCTCACTGGAGTTACTCTTGTTGCTCTCCTCCAGGAACTGCTGCAGGGTGACCACTTCGCTGCCAGGAGAGCCGGTTTTGGCGTGCTTCCCACGGCTCTCCGGCGCTTCGGCTCTCTGCGGGAGCACCGGGCTGGAGCGGCCGGGAGCCTTCAGGTACTGCGTGGGGCTGCTGCTGCTGCTGGACCAGGCCTCGTGCTCGTGCAGGAGGCTGAACTCCCCGCTGCTGTGGCTCTGGGGCCTGCTCTGGCTGTTCACTGCACCTGCTGGGGGTGAGGGCACCGGGGATTTCTGTTAGCAACACACAGCACAGCTGACAACACGTACAGCCTTAGCCACACCTGCAGCATTAGTTCTATTGAAGAGATTCAAAACAGTCCAGTTGTCCTTTTTCACTTCGCAGAACTGCACTCCCCTGACTTACCTTTTGCAGCTCTTTAAACACAATTTTATAAAAATGAAAAACTACCATTATAATCTGGGCCTCCACCTACATAACATCACGTTCCAAGAGGTTAAGGATACACCTCCACTCCTGCTCAGCATCACTGGGAGGCACATGGCAATGTAACGTTAAAAGAAATACAAAAGGGCTGAATGGAAAGAAAATGTTTCCTCCAACACTTCCTGCTGTTACTCCTAGCTGGTTACAACTGGGACCTGAAGGAGGCACGTGGTGTTAAATGCAAAATGGATTCCACGAGTCCGATTCCTTTTGTTTGTCAGCAATTGTGAACTGCTAAAAAAATATGTAGGGATAATCAGGCATTTCTGACTTCGTGTTACTCTTAAGAAACGAAATGAAGTTTGAACAAAGATAAACTGCTTACAGTGGGGATTTCTAAACTGGGGCAAGGAGGACCTCAAGGGATCTTTTACAGAAGGGAGTAACCAAAGAGATGTAATATAAACTATCAGAAGTACTCAGCTAGCGTTCATTCCTAAATTTCCAAACAAACAGACACCATTCCATAAATGAAGCCAGGAATGTTGAGTGAATCCTGAGCTGGCAGCGCTCTGGTGGATACAACAGCTACAAGGGCCATTCCATACAAAACTGGAATTCAGAGAACACTGGTCAGTCCAGGGATGTTGTTACCCTGGCAAATCCAAAGCACAAAGGTCTCTAGGATGTGTCACAGAGACCAGCCTGGCCAGCTGTACAGTACCCAGCCCACAGCAGCAGTGCAGGAGGATGCTTGGGGAAAAAAAGAGCAATTTCTCTTCTTGAAACACTTTTTAAATAATTTGGGGGGAATTCTTATTTTGCACCATTGTTACCTGGGTTAGGGTTGGTTTAAAATAGCTGGTAACTTGGAAAGTAACAGCACCCTTTTAATATTCATTAAAATCATCAGTTCCAGGAACATCTTTGCTCCCAGCCTGGGGAATGAAGGCTGTGAAATGCTTAAATGCTTAAACCACCTGCTGTGGTTTGCAGGGGGAACTTTTTGGCTGTGGGGTTGTTGTTTTGTTTTGTTTTTTTTTTTAAATCTCTACAGATGACCTTACAGAGGAAAGAATGGAAATGAAGCAGAGATGTGAATTCCCCTCCAGCATACCTTTGACTTCATGGAGTGAAGCATTGTTATTGCTATTGCTAGTGGATGTCCTGCCACTATCAAGGCTGGCTGGTCTGGAAGCTGAATGGAAAATTAGGAGACACGGTGGTGAGCAAGATTGCAGCAGAGGCCACGGTCCCTTGACATTCTGCTCCCAGAATGCTCAGGCAGGGCATGCACTGACACAGGCCCAGCATGCCCACGGGCAACAAAGGTTCTTACACAGCAGAAAGCGGAGGAATTTCCAGGCGGTCCAAGAGGACACTTTGGAAAAAGGCACTACAGGAAGGGCACAGTCGAGGGGAGAGGAAACAGAGAGAGAAAGAGAGGGTACGTTTAGAAGTGAGAGTGGCTGTCGGTGGGAGGCAGGGACAGGTGGGAGCAGGGACATGCAGGGGCTGCTCGTGGTCAGGGCACTTACAACAGATCTGACAGGGAACCTGGCACAGGGCTGGAAGGCCACGAGCAGCAGGAGCAAGAGCATCTGCACAGACAAAGTCCTGCACTCCTGAGCCAATACAAGGGAAATGCTCTGTTAGTAGCCTCAAAAAAAATGCCTGCTGCTCATGTTAATTGTAAATGTTTACATGGGAGTTAAAACTTCCCTTCTAAGTAACCTGCTACAGCTTTCACTTCAAAGCTTGGCTTGAAGGAAGACAGAATGCTTCTATAAACTACGGCACACGGCAAATTTAGGCTGCGCTGAACAACAAACTTTGAAAGCTCAGGCCAGATTGGGATTTGGGGATTTTAGGATTGGAATGATTAGCTTCTTTTATTTACTATTAACTCTAAATGGAAGTTAAAACACTTTCCCACTAAGGGGGAAAGTGCTTTGATCCTGCTGAGATGCACTTCACAGGTACTTTCTACCAGAGGTACAGAACATCTGTCTGATGTAGGAGATAAGGAAGAAAAGGAGAGTCTGAAGAAATGATACAACACACTCGAGAGATGTGGAAATCACAGAGAACATGCTCACTGCAACCACGTCATTCACCGCAGTTTTTGCAAACTTGGTTAACATTCACATCGTATACCCTTAATTAGCAGAGTTAAAGTTCACATCTTACCATGAACTCTCGATCCTGTACTAGAATCATCACTAATACCTTGGGGACTTACATCTTCATAGGATGTGGTATCTACACACAGAGACATAAAAGATGATGTAAAACAAAATAAAAGGAAGAGATTATTGAAATACTTAGCATTGGCACAATACATTAAAACACTTATCAAAGCAATCCATTTTTTCCTTAGGAAACATTCTGTAGGAAAAAACCCTGCAACGTTTTTATCACTGCAGTTATTAAACCTATTCATTATCTTAGCGCTGCAGCTCAGTTATCAAGATTGCTTTTCGTCGAGAAACTTATAAAACATCAGAAAAAAAAATCAATATTACACGGTTACATCACGGTGCAAAAAGCTTCTACCTATACCTTTATTATTTAGCAACTGCTTGGATCTGAAGCCTGTGGAGGAGTTGACAGTGGCAAAGTTGATGGCTGTGGTGGAGAAGGCCATAGCTCCCAATTCCTTCCTCCTTTTCCCCGTGGACATATCATCGGGGCCCTCCAGATGCTCAGAACTACCTGTCCATTGTCCTCCTGCCAGGACCATGGACTGCACCAGGTCATTCATGGCTGGGATGCAAATGAAAGCAGATGATGAGCGCGGGCGAGGTCCCCGCCGGTTCGCAGAGCGCATCGCAGAGCCGGGCGCTCCCCCAAGCGCGAGAGCGGCGCGGGGCCGGCGGGCACAAACACCGTCATGCAATCGGCTCGGGGACGGGCACGGGAGGGAGGGGGGCACCGACGGGGTCCTCGCCGCGCCACGCGCGTGGCACGGCCCGGACGCGCCGTCCGCCGCGGGAACGTGGGAAAGGGGCTCGTCCAGCAGTGCCAGCGGTGCCACGGGATCCTGGGGCAGTGCAGGGTACTGCGGGCACACGGGGTTACACAGAGCAACAGAGAAAAATACAACGGCCGATGACATTCACCTGCGCTGCCCCCCAGCTCGGCAAAGCCGTCCACCCCTCATCAGAAAATAAAAGCAGACAAGAGGAAATCGATACAACGCTCTGGCAACGAGAACTGAGGAGTACTTGCAGAGTGACAGACCACCAGAGAGCCTCGCACGATTGCCTACAACTTCCCTTTAAACAACAACGACCATGACAAAAAGAAAAAAAAAAAAAAAAAATCACAGGGATCTCTTAGCAGAACGTGTGGTTCAGAACCGTCTCTGTGAACACAGTGCACTGTAAATTTATATACACATGGGGCCATGTGTATATAGACGACTATGTATACAAAGATATGCAGTCACAACGCACTGAATAGATTATATGGATGTGCGTGGGAACGTGTGTGGGGGTGTGTGAGGGGGGGTGTGTGTGTGTGCACATATATAAAGTATTCAGTGCCAAGGTTTCTTTTTTTTTTTTAATTAAAAAAAAAAAAAAAAAAAAAGGGGGAAAAAAAGTAAAAAGAAAAAGCTCCAGCTCCTTGTACCGTAGCAGGACTCGCACGTTGCAAAAGAGGAGGAAAAATACAGCGCAGTCCAGGGAGAGGTTAGTGAAAAATTAGTAAGGAAGCCAGTGTAGCCATTGAGAAGAAGCTGAACTGTCATAAAGTCTTACACATGGAGCGACGGTAGAAGGCCTTCATTTTGTCTTTTTCCTTCGGTCTGTTCCTCAAAAAGGGCAGTCTTTTCAGTGCACCCACTTTTATGTCATAGCATGAGGAAAAACGGAAACAGGGAAATGAAAGAAAAAAAGGGGAGAAGAACAGATGGAAGTTAAATGTTGAAACTAAGGACAGAAATGAATGTCTCGAGCTTAAGCTACGCTAAAAGCTATCGCTGTCACGCTGCTGGGTGGGCAGGAGGGATGGGAACTACCCTGCAACAGGAAAACTGCTCTGGGAGAACCTTCCCATACGGATGGTGGGCAGTGCAACACTCCCCACTGCTAATCTGGGTGGGGTAATACTCCCCACTACTCCTCTACTTCAAGAGTTTGAAGCTCTTGGGGGGAAAAAAAAAAAAAAAAACAACGAAATGCCACTTCTTTGCAGGTGGTTACAGAAATGGTCCACTAAGGAATTCTTACTGTGGAAAATAACATTTTTTGAGCATGAAGAAAACTGCAACTCCAAGTGCAGCTTCTACTTCCAAATATGTTCACCTCGTTGTTTTTTGAGGTTAATTAATTTTAATCGTGGTTTGCCCTACACACCTACCAGGACACAGTTTACTATCACTCTTCAGCTCTTGCATTTTGTGCTCAGTAAGAATTTTGCTCATCTACTCGTGGAAAACCCACAGGGGCCTCCTGTTCAGTGCAGTGCTTTTAGTGTCTCACCAAAATGATCTGCTTCAAACGTGCAAAACTTCTTAGCTGAGAAAAAAAAAACCCAAAAGGAAACAAAACCCCAGCAAAGCCAAAGGTGAGCGTTGCTGCGGCGTTTTGGGAGGGCCCAGAGCAAACTGAGGTGCGTTCTATGAGGAGAATTACAGAGTTAAAATCACAAACAGTATTAAAGGATGGAGCAGTGCATATATACATATGCATTTACAAGTGCACATGGGGGACCCTGAAGGGCAAATAAATAACACCTCCCTCTCTCTCCAATGTCTCACCCTGGGTCTGCACCCAGAGAAGAGGCTCCCACTGCAGTGTAACCAAAGAGGGCATTCTGTTCTAGTTCTGGTTTTTTTGGCACCAAAACGACACATGACTCTTCTGTAACTTCTATAATCCTTTACCGACGAGATAACTCACCCCTTTATAATCCCTTGTAGACAAGATAAATGAGCCCTCTTAATTAAAAACGCCTTAATCTTATTAAAAAATAACCAGAGCATGTTCAAGATTCTTGTGAGTCACTTGTCCTGCCCATTAACACAGATCACCTCCAAAAGGGCTGGTTTAGCTGTACCCACCAGGAAACTCCCCTGCAACTACTGATGGCCTGGAAATCCTGCACCAGAACCTGGCCTTTGTCCTGGAAATCCTGCCATGAGGACCTGGCCCTGGGCAAAATGAAAAACCTGCTTGAAGGGGGAATCATGTAAGTAATGTCTGCATAAAATCCAACTCAAGAAATGTCCTGGAATGATAATGATGATTAATACTGAAATGGCAGAGCTACAGCAGAAATCAGGAGTTCTTTCTCTTTTCAGTACTCTAAGAGCATGTCCCAGCTTTCTGAGCTGAGAAGGAACGATGTGCGCTGCAGAATTCCTCCCCTGATCAGGAAATCCCCTGTTTTGTAACCTCCCCCTGTTTGCAAAAAAATCCTCTGAGGAATTATTCCAGTGTACGAAAATCTTCAAAGGGTTTTGTTCACGCACACAAGAAAATATGAGGCAGACATCTTCTAAATGTCCTGCTAACAGAAAATGGAGCCCAACAGACATTTTTAACTTCCACTACGATGTGACGTGTCTGCTGCTGGTGCTGCTGCTAGAGATGCAGTTCACTGCTAGCCCTGACTCCTTGGGACTCTGTCAATCACCTGAAAAGGCTGCAGTGGAAGGCAGCAAAGGGAGTCAGTCTGGTTTTGTCCACAGAGAACAAAAATGCCCCCTGCCTGCCTTGGGCTTTCTGTGGGAAGGCTCTGAGTGGTCCCATCCTGCCCGCAGCGGGTGACAGATCCGTGGCACTCACCGGATCATCAGCAGTGAGCAATGAGGATGTGGGCTCAGGATCTGGGAAGAAGGAGGCTGTACTTCCAGCAGGGAATGAAAAGCTGAGGTGAAACCCTGCAGTCAGGAGCACACACACACCCTCACTGCCTGCAGGGACAGAACAGCCATCCAGGATCCCTCCTTCCCACTCACTGCCTGCAGGGACACCAACAGCCATCCAGGATCCCTCCTTCCCACTCACTGCCTGCAGGGACACCAACAGCCATCCAGGATCCCTCCTTCCCAGCTCAGACACTCTGGGATCTGAGAGGGGGATCTCTGGGATCACACAGGGGCTGGGGGAATGCTGACAGACCTCAGTGCTGCTTTCTCTGGTTTTGGGGCCGAGATCCTCTGGGAGATAACAGGGCTCTGGGACACGTGAGCGTGACAAAGTGGCCCTGTCTCCATCCCCACCTTCCACAGCTGTCACACGCCAGGTCCCTTTATCAGCAGCGGTGGCAGCAGGGTAACCAACTGTGGGATCAGCATCTCCAGTGGGGATGTGGGATAGGAACCCCAGCCCCCTTGGGATCTGTGTGTCAGACACCGTGCCCTCTAGCTCAGGAGAACACCACTGGTGTGTGCCAGGGACGCTGAGCTGCCTTCTCCTGCCTCCTGAGGGCCACGCAGGACATTTCACCTCCGCAGTTCCCGCTGGAATCGTGTCCTTTCCAGGGTGGGACAGACCTGCCTCTTCCCAGAGCTCCAGCACCTCGGCGTGGCAGCTCACACGTGTTCTCTGCTGCAGCTCCTGCCGTGGAAGCTGCTACTGCCAAGCTGCTTCTTATAGAAAAGAAAGGCCCCCCAGTATCCCGGGATTTAGGATTTACAGTCCCTCCAGGAGCAGAAGAAACAGCCTGCAAAATGTGCACCATCACCAGCGCTTGTCACTGGAGATACTCACGCTGAGACACAAACTGCCTCAGCAAGATTGTCAGAGCTGAGCTGGCACACAGGGCACCCCAATCCTGCCCAGCCCCGGGGTTTCCATGGCGATGTGTGTAAGGCAGGAAGGGCAGGATCCAGAATTAGATCAGCCCTTCCAGTTTGTGGGTAAATACACTGGGATTAAGGGGGACACGACCAAGGCCCGTGGAGTAGAAAATTAATGAGGTCTAACGGCTCCAAAGCTCCTTTGAGGCTCAGGCACCGTAACTGCGGCCGTGGCTCCCCGGGCAGGGGGAACTGCACCCCACGGGGTCCCGAGGAGCATGCAGAGAGAACCGTCACACAAAAACCCTTCCACAACACCACAGGGGGGACACAGATGCAGATGGGCTGACCCACGGCGTGCACACTCACTCACAGGCAAACACACCCCCCCCCCGGCTCCGCTCACCACTCCACACCACTCGCGTTGGGATGTAAAAGCAACAGTTGCTTTTGCTGAAGTTCAAAAGTAGCTGTTTTGAACCTTAGGCTGAAAAACAGGGGGCTTCCCCACGGGACAAGTCAGCACTTTTGTAAGTGCCTCGAATTTATCATTTCCTTCACTTATTAAAAAAATACAAATCTGATTTGAAGTCTCTCCGAAACAACATTTTTGGACTTTTTTAACTTTGACTAAGCTCCTGTAAGAAGCATAGAATTAAAAAAAAAAACCATCAAAATGGCTTTAATCATTTCTACCACAGCAGAGTCACAGCTGGCACAAGCCCCAGCAAATCAACCTGCTGCTTTTTGGAAACTCAAGGCATTAAATTTAAAAGAAGCAGCGCAAAGACTGGAAGTGACTGTTAATGTTCACGTATTCTGATGCTTTTACATGCACAGCCAAAATGCTTTTGGTGCATAATTGTTAAATAGAACCATCACACCCTGATAACCTGGCTGCAATATCATCGTCCCTCAAGCTGGGAGAAACTGGGCAGTTTATGATCCAAGCCAAGGGTGGATAGTAAAAAAATATAGGTAATAAATAATAATAAACAGAATCTGGCCTTTTATAGCATGTGATGGCTATGAGGCTCTTCCAAGGCTAGCAAACTCTGTCAGGGATATTCCATCTATCCACACCCTCTGCAACCCTCCCCACTCAGCTCTAATTTTAGGATCAATCCCCATCTTTTTAAGGGGTTGTGTCTGTACATTAACTCTTCCTGCTGCACCTTCCAGTTTGATCAGAGGATTCCCTCACTGGTTTTGTGAGGTGCTGGGGAACACCTTCAGACAGCAGGTGTTTCTAAGGTTGTTAGCACAGCCACAGCTTGGAAAACACCTCCAGGACAAGGGGAGAGATTCGTGCTGGGACAAGAGGGAGAAACAAAAACGGTGCTAGTGGGTGACATCTGACATTCCATCCAAAATCCTGCTCGCCTGGCCCAGGAGCAGTGCCTGCTTCACCTTACCCCAGCACCGCAAATGTACTCCAACATTTACACTGAGAGCTCCAGAAACGCTAAAAACTCGTCCCTGCCCAAACCCTCCAGGGAGCTCACAAGAAGTGACCACATAAACCTGTCCTTACGTTAATTAACTCAGGCTTTGCTCCTAAAGGCTTTACCTTCAAAAACCCCTCCAGGAGACACAGACTTTCCCAACACTTATAAGCAGAATGAGGGGTCCTGCAGTACTCACTGCTACTCTTTTTGGTGCCCAGGGTCTGCCCATCGTCCAGGGAGTTGGAGCCCACTGAGGAGCTGTCCTGGCTGTCCTGGTGGGGCAGCTGCAGGAAGCCCTCGCTGGATTCCGAGCGCGTGGGCGTGAGGGTCACCGACTTCAGCCGCTCCCGGTTCCCGTCCTTCTTGGACTTGATCAGCTTCCTCATCTTCAGGGTGATCCAGTTGCCCCTCCTGTTGGCAACAACACGGCCCATTTATGACAAATCGCCTCCACACTTCTCCTAATCTGTATGCACCACCTCCATTTCCAGCTGGAGCGGAGCAGGTTACGCCCTGAAGGCGTGATTTGTTCTGAGACCCCCCGAATTCAGCGGTACCTTCGTGGTGGAGACGGTTCATAGAATTTATACTGATCCATTATCTTCTCCTCCAGCTTCTCCTTCTGCCGCCGCAGCTCGTTGAGCTTGTCACTGCAAACAGAAATCAGGGAGAGTGGCTGCTCAAACATGCAAGGACTGCCTGGTCCTCTGGGGATCTGTTATCTCCAGCTTGTCATCTTTGGGGAAGAATTCTAAAGTCACACTTGGTTCTTATTGAAGGAGAAAGAGATAACAGCAAACAAGCAGACTGAGGTTTAACTTCATGGCATAAAATTGAGAAAGTTTCCATTTGCTGTTGTTACACAACAGAATTTCCCCCCTTTTTAAGTAATAAATGTAATTTGGACAAGCCCATTTTCTCTTCCCTCCAATTCACTACAAAGTTTAGATTACAATTATAGACTTTGCCAGTAGCAGAATGAGGAATAAACAACATTTTTGTTCCCCCTCTGCATAACCAGTAACGATCACACTTACGCCGATCCTTCAGAACTACAAACATAAGGTTTTTAGTTTTTATCTGCTTTACATTTACAATTGAAATGTTTTTCTCAAACATTTCAGAAGCATGGAATTTAACATGAGTTAAATTCCATCTATAGCAGAAGCTGCTTAAAGAAAACGAGTGTATCACAGTGATTTTCAAAACTCACATGTACTGCCTTTGCTCCACATGGAAGAGATCCTTGCTTTCCATATTCTGCTCCAGTAATGTCCTATTCTGCAGCATTAAAGTCTGAATTTGATCCAGCAGATGCCTGTTCTCCTCCTCCAGGTTTCCTTTGAGCTGGCTGAGCAGCTGTAAAACACACGCAATGGCACCTGTGTACCTTTGTGAGCGCATTTTCCACAAGCATAATGAGATCATCCAGACAATGTGAGTCCACAAAGGCATTCTGAGAGTCCAGGCAAACAGAAAACTGCATCGTGAATCACCTGATAAAAGCCCCTTGGATTCTTGAAAGAATTTAAACCAGTTTACACAACATGAGCCTGTACAGCAGGCAAATTAATTAGTCTTTGGATCCACTTCATTAGCTATAAACCAAATGATCAATTCTCCAGCACTTCCCAAGATTTTATGATTCCACAAACACACTCCTATAAATGCTCCCTAATTCCCACGTACCTCACACTGATTATTCAGCTTTGTTGATGTAATATCCAGCTGCTGGTACTGTTCTTTGAGCTTGGAAAACTCCGCTTCCAGCCGTGTTTGCTCCAGCTTGGAATTGTTCAATAGTGTTTTCAGATTCTTGTGGTCGGTCTGGAGAACCTCATTCTCTCTCAGGAGCTGACTGTAGGTGTGAGTGAGCCTGGGATTGAGAGACACCAGCACAAAATAAAACTCCTTCCTGTCCCAGGCTGTAGGTAAGCCAGCCCAGTCTCATTTTCCCAGGGATGTGCTCTCTGCCTTTAAGCCAAACCCTCTGTGCTCTCTGTTTGTTCAGGATCTCTACGCCACTACTAGCTTTAGGATGCCACTTTTCGAAAGGAAAGAATCCTACAAACAGCCCACAGAAAACAGCGTGGAGATAGGAACGGTCCAAAGTTTGGCAGTCAGGTTACTGATTGATCACTGATATCCCGATCCCTGGGTTCTCCTTGTGCCTCCTGGGCCCTGCCACGGCCCTCTGTCCCATATGTACCCTCAGGATATACATAATGATTATTTTTGTGGGACCACGAGTGCCCTGAGTGGCAGCAGCAGGTGTTTAGAAATGGGAAGGAGCACAGCGCTTGCTGAGGCTGCCCTGGCAGGCGCTCAGAGCTCCCCCGACCACACGCCAGGCTCGTCTTTACCTTTCGTTTTCCTCGCGAAGTTTTTTATATTCTGCTGCCACCGTCTCGTGCTTCTCGCTTTGCTGCAGCATCTTCTCCTGTTCTGTCTTGAGAACCTTCTCCAGCTCTTCCAGTTGCACCTTCTGTTTCAGCAGCTGGTTGTACCTGCACACCCAGGTAAATATTCAAGTGTTTTTTGTGGACTGAGAATACGGAATTTTTATGAAATGGAGACTATTTGAGGTTTCAAATCTTCACAGCTGAGGTAATGCTAGTTTTATTAAACGTGTTTTACTCAGGTTTTGCTCAGGCAGGGCACTGCTCACCTGTCCTCCAGGTCCTTGTGCTCCACCTCCAGGTTCTTGTGGGCGGCCTTGAGGCTGCCGTGCTTGGCGATGAGGGACTCGTACTCGGCCGCCTGGCGCTCGTGCAGCTGCTCCAGCTTCTCGTGGTCCTTCAGCAGGGCCTCGTACAGGCCCTTGAGGTCCTCCCTGTCCTTCAGCACGCCCTCGTTCTCGTTCTCCAGGGCCGACTGCTGGATCAGCAGCTGGGCGTTCTGGTTCATCAGGGACGTGCTCTGCGAGTTCAGAGTGGAGTTCTCCACCTGCAAATGGTTGGAGTAAATTAATTTCACAGTCTGGGGTATTTTGTGTATCTCCTGTCGAAACAGTTCTTGGGTTTAACTCTGAGTGACCTTCTAGCTGCTCCATTACCTGCCAACCTCTCAGGGGAATACTCCTTTCTGATACCCCAACAGGCAATTCCAATTCCAAATATTCCAGGAATATTTCCACGGCAGCATTGCAGGAAAGCACTGAACCGTATGATTAAGCTGATCTGATTAATCAATTAAGCATTGGTTAATTTGATTAAACAATCAAATTCTTATTTACCTTTCAACATCTGTTGAGTGCTATCTAGACAAGAACAACATTTGCCTCTGGCATCAAAACATCTGGGAGAGATGGATCCTCAGTGATCCTATTATAAGCCTGTAAATCTGTGACGTGACTAAAATAAAAGGAACTCCCATGCTGGCACAGAGATCTATTTTTAAGAACATCTTGCTGGTACAGAATCTGTATGGTCACCATAAAATCTTTATGTCAGAACAGTATTAATCTCTATTAACACACTAAAGCCTTCAACATTAAGACAAATTTAAAAGACCCCAACCAACCAACAGCTTCCCTTTTTGTGCCTCTGGAAAGATTAACCAAATGTAATCCTTGGATATCTTGTCACCTGACCTGTATTGGGCTCATTTCCTTCTCTTTGCTATTCAAGAGACCAAACCCACAAACTACTGAGGCTTCCAAGACCCTCGGGGTATCTATTAAGAGGAAAAAAAATTCCATCTCCCACTGCAGTGCCTGCTGTTACCAGGGAACAAATCCCTTCCTGCCGGAACTGCAGCGCTCTTTGTTCCACGGGAGAAAGCCCAAACTTTCCCTGGAAATGAAGTCATGTCTCATGGATGGCCCAGCCTGAATCCCGAGTTTTGTCACCTCACAATTCCCAGTTACCCCCTCAAACATCCCCTCTCTTGGCTGCTCCTCGTGGGCACCACCAGGGAGAGCAGAATGAGTTGCCAGGACCGGTTCTGACAGAGATTCCACTTCAGGTGGAGCTGACAGTTCTGATTTTCATGGGCATATTTCACCTTTCGTTTTGATCTGGAGGTGATGGAGAGTTGTCTTGCCAGAGAGGAAAGGCCTGTGCCATTGTGGAAAAAAGGAACTACACAGATATTCCTGGGTTCTTCTGACAAATGGGGTTACAAATACTCTGAGTTCTGAATCCCAGAGATAAATCCTCACGTGGTTAAAGGAGGATATTTCCATGTCCCTATCCACTGCTTCTGAACAGCCAGAAAAGGCACAGAAGTCCTGCTTTCCTGGAGGGCTGTGCACTGATGAGATTTCCATGTGCAGCACAAACTGCATCCACGGGACAAGAATGTTCTGCTGCCCAGAAAGGCGGGATGAGAACTCCAGGCACTCACCAAAGGCCTGTTTGTCTCGTTTCAAAAGCCCTTGACACTTGCATTTCCAGCACCTCTCCATCCTTCCTGACACTGCTGCTGCTGCTGCACTGGGCACTTTTCACTCCCTCTTAAAGGAATTTGGATTCTTACAACTCCAAGAAGCATTCGACCCATTAGCAAGAACATTTCATTTCCAGAGACAAAAAGAGATACATATTTAATAACCCCCTGAAGGCATGAAGGACAACATCTGAATGTTGGCCACGAGAGCTGCAAGACTCTGGGTGAACCATTTTAATCATTTCCATGGTCAAACACCACCTTTCTTTTGCCTCTGAATTACCTACATTCAGTCCTTACATGTTTAGGTAGGGCTTTCTCTGTTGGTTTTTTTTTAGTATTCTATACTTTTTTATATATATATTCTACACTTTAGTAATTATCTTGATTTTCCTTTTAGGTATGGCTCTACTTTTTTTTTTAACTACTTATAAAAATAGATAACATTTATTACAATCTCTCTGGACACATCACTTCCCTGACCTAATTTAGATGTATAATTAAAATAAAAAAAAACAAGCAATCTTAGAAGGCTTCAGAGAAGGGTAAGAGAACCTCCCCTACTCACGAGGGTGTAAAGTCGAGAGTCTCAACTGCACAAATGTGAAGGATTACAACCAACTTTTAGGACTGCAATTATTCATCAGCAAACAAACTATTATTTGACTCTCTGAGAGATATTTCCACATTACCTCCTTTCCCAGGTCCGCACCGGAAGCAAAATGTGGCTTAAAACACGATTTTTTTTTAGAAAAAACAGCTTTCCTTTGGGTTTGGAGAGCCAAACAGGCCCAGCTCACCTGGAGCTTGGCGTTCTGGGTTTGCAGGGTGGTGTTCTGCTCCTGCAGGGCCACGCTCTGCCTCTGCAGGGCCAGGATCTGCGCCTGCAGGTTGTTGTTCTGCGTCTCCAGCTGCTTCAGCTGCGTCTTCAGCGCCTGCTTCTCCGCCTGCAGCGTCGCGTTCTGGGCACGGGGGGACAACAAACACGCAAGGTCTGAGCTCACAGGGGCTTCTCCAAGAGAGTCACGAGTGGAATGAAAGCGGGAGTCACCTCCCAAGGCCAAGGGACACACGGGGTGTGAACACACAGCCTGTCACTGCGGGTTACGATGGGCAAGCAGGGAACGAGTGCTGTACCTACAGAGGAACAGCAGAGACACCTGCAGGCCCCAGGGAAACAAGGCTTGGGCAAGAGGGATTTCAGAGAGAGCTCTGCACCCACAGGGACAAATTCAGGTGTTCACGTTTCCTTTGAAACGCCTGCCAAGTGTTTCAAGGCATCCCTCAGAGCAGAATCCAGCTGCTCCATGCACTGCTCGGGATGGGAACCAGGTGACAAGTGACACACCTGAACAACACTCATTCCTGTGACCGCAACAGACAACAACAAATAATCACAACCACAGCTAAATCTCGTCTTACATTCCTCTCCACTTCAATTAATCTGTCTTTAACTTTCAACAATTCTCGAGTTGTTTCCTGGTTTTCCTTCTCCCACTTATTGACGGGCTGATTCTCTTCTCCGCTTCTGGGAGGGGAATTCTGGACCATCCTCTCCTCCTCTTGCCTTTGCTTGAGAGCTTCGTAGTTCTTTTTCACCTGCAATTATTTAGGGCAACTCAGATAAGGTTCAGAATTTCCCATTTTAGACACCCTGATTTATTACCTGGCCATGCCACCTCTCTAAGAATAGGAAGTTCTGTGTTCCTGTAACTGTAAATCTGCTTTTTGTACATGTTTGGGGAGATGCTGCACAAATTATTTATGGGTATGGATAACTTCACCCTAACAAACGTTTTCCTAAGAGCACGATACCTCCATCTCCTATTTCATTTCAGTGCCTTCAACGGTACCCCCCAAGTTTTATAACAAAATCCTACAGCCAAGGCATTTCTTTTTTTTAACCATTCTACTCAGGCTGCTGAAGGTAGGTCAGGAAATATAACTGGAAATGACACCCCAAATCAAATCAGCCCCAGCCAATTTATCCACCTGACATTTTCAATGAGCAATGAATAAACTCTACCACGTTTCATCTGATTCCAACAGAGTTTTAAAAGCAGTCACTACCCAAACAATGCCCAGCTTTTGCAGTCTTACCCACAAAGAGAAACAACAGCAGCTCCTACAGGAACCATTCAATCTGACAGGAAAATGCCCTTTTCCTTACTGTTTTCAGCTCCTGCCGGAGCTGCTGGTTCAGATTTGTCGACTCTTCCAAACGAGCCTCCAAAGCCGCGATTTTTTCTTCCTTGATTTCCAGCGACTTCTTGAGCGTGGATTCCAGTTTGGACTCCAGAAGCTTGTACCTACTGGTCAGCAACAAGCACAAAGTCAGTGTTTCCAAAACCCCTTTGAGGCCCTTAAACCCTGGAATGTTGGGAAAGAGCAGCCTCACGGCTACCCTCAAAAACGCTGGGGAGTCAAGAGCGTGCAGACCCCTCAGTGTTCACTAAAGCAAACAGAAGGTGGTGACAAACCCCATTTCTGACTCCTCCTCTCTTTCAGATGTGCTTTAGGCACACGAAAAGGCAGGCTGAGGCCCTCCCCCAGGAGGGGGCTGTTTATCTGCATCATTACCCTGGGTGTGATGACTGCACTCCTCCTGCTGGCCCCGCTCCAGCGGATCCAGCGGGGACCTGAACCCAACGAGGATGGGAAGGATTTGGAGAGCAAGATTTTCATCAGTTCCCATCTCCTGCCAGCTGCCAAGGGGAAGGCAGGGCAGGACTGTGCAGGTGCACACTCATGTGGTGCCTGGCTGTGCAAACTGCCCCCTCAGCCCAGCTGCTGGGATTTTAGGACTGTCATCACCCCTGAGGGTAAAGCTCCCATTTTTCACCATATTTACAACATTGCAGGGCACCCCAAAAACCCAGAGTGCCTGTTTGGGAGAGGAGTGGTCAGATTCAGGCTGTATCAATTTACAACTGTGTCTCCTCTAGAGGCAATACTGCAAACCACAGTCAGGAATCACTCTAGGCAGCTCAGTCACTGTGCACGTGGCTCAGAGCCGGGCAAACATCCCACTGCTCCCACAGCTGGATAAAATAAACCCCTGACATCCCCCTTTCCCACCCTGCTGCTGCAGGATCCATCAGCTCAGTGAAGGGAATAGGCTGCAGGAGGCTCCTGAATGGACAAGGGCATTAGATCCAGCCAGGAACTGGAGCAGAAGACCAATGGGAAGAGAATTAATGAGCAGAGAGCTGTCCAGGGGCATCAAGGAGCAGGATGGGAATCCTACATTTGAAGACATGACAAGTAATTCCCAGAGATTTCAGGAACAGGAGGCAGCCTATGACTAGTGGAATATGAAGGGTTTCACCTCCTTGAGCTGAAGCACAGATCTGGCTAGAAACAAGAATTTCTGTTACTGAAAAGTTACCAAATTATGTAAAAAAGACAAATAGCAGAGAACTGATATCCACTTTCCTTTTGAACACCTCACAGTGAAAGATGGTACAGATTTTCTGATGTCATTGAGACTTGGGTATTTCAGATTCAGAGTCCATCAGTGTGTTTGTCCAAGGACAACAGACATTGGAAACACAGGGAGAAATGGAAAACACTTCCAAGTTACTCATAAAATGCGGCCAGTTTAGACCCCACTGGAAAGACTGAAGTGCTCCCAAGAATATTCATTAAAAACACAAGGAAATCTCTCCAATCAGGAAGAGGAAAACAAGAGGTGGTAACAGATTCACCCCCAGGACTCTGACACCACCTCAGTCACAGAGCACTGGCACCAAAAAAGGGAACCATCTGGGTCTTTAACCCAGCCCTGGGGTTTCCTTTGGACACAGAGAGGCCCAAATCGACCGCCGTGTTGGTGACAATCATCTGTAAGAACAGATCCCCACACTGAGCAGCACTGTGAAATAAAGCTTGCCCACAGGCCCACACTGCTCTGCTCTTCTCCTGCCACAGATTTTGCCTAAATCCCTGCAGGATAAGCCAGAAGAGGCAGACACAGCAGAGGAAAGAGATGTCAGGGCAGCAGCTGCCTCCTCGTGGCAGGTGGTGGAGGGATGGAGCCAGGACCAACTTCTGGAGAAGCTGTATCAGTACTCAAGTACTGGACAGTGCCAGCCAGGGGCAGTGGGAATGCAGCTTCCTTTTGTGGCAGGGATTAGTTGTGAGGAAGGAGTGACACAGTCCAAGGTAACCACTGCGTGTTAAAAGCTGTAGAAACCATCTGTGCCAGACAAGCAGTCAGAAAGGGAAAAAATGCACTTTGAGCTAATTCTCTCTTACTGCCACCGTTCCTGCTGCTGGCTGGAACGTGGAAACATTTAATTATAGTTAGTTGGATCTACTGACATACTTCAGCGAGTTTCTTAGCAACAAAAAGTGGCGACTCGCTGTCGCAGAATGCAAGAGCACATCAGCTCTCCCGTTCCTGTCAAAGAACAGCCAGTTGCATTTCGGGGCTGTGAGTGTGCCTTGGGAATGCACCAGCCCATTTTCCCCTCCTGACTAAAAAAGCCCCTCCTTTGCTCTCTGTTTCAGGTGGGCCCTGACACCCTCACCTGTCGTCGCTGCTCTGCTCATCCTCCAGGAGCCGCTCCTTGTTCAAGCCTATTTTCTCCAGCTCGTGGGCAAGTTTCTCCAGATCGTTGTTCATTTGTTGAGTCTTCAGTTTCTCGTTCACCAGGTCCTTGCAGAGGAGAAAACACGGTCAGTATTTCCACAGAAATCAAACAGCGTAGCCTCAGTTCTAGGAGTGCTCAGACAAGAGTCTTTTATCACTACGTGACTGGAATAATTCAGAGTTAACTCTGCCCTCCCTGCAGTTGTCGGCTCTCAGCTGGATCAGACCCTGCACTGTGACTGTGGTTTCACTGTGTTCTCTTCCTTTCTGCAGAATTTCCCTTTAAATTTGGTCTTGAGCACGACAGCCAAGGGACAATGTCTGATATTACTCCTTTTCCTTACTATGGTCACGTAAATTGTGATTATCTAACGCCTTCCCTACAATAAGCACAAAGGTGGGAGCACCCAGATTACAGCTTAAAAACCCAGAAAATAGAGCCTTTTTCTGTGATTTTTTTCACCTGGCAGGCAGATGATGGTGGAAGGATAACCAATCTCTTTACCTCTCTCAGGGTGACCAGGGTTTTCTTGTCGATGGTGGCTCTTTTCACCAGTTCCTTATTTTCCTTCTCCAGCTCTTTCAGGCGCAGGCAGGACTCTTTGTACACAACGATTTCTTTGAACAGAGACTTATTTTCCCTTTCCAGGTTACTAATTTTGACATTGTTCTCCTCCAAGGTACTATCCTTAATCTCTGCTTGCTGCCTAAGCCTTTTATTTTCCTTTTCTAGCTGCTTCTTATCCTTCTCCAGCTGAGAGGTCTCTTGTTCCAACAACTTGTTCTCCTTCTCCAACTGCTCCAGGCGCTTACTGGAGATTTTTAACTCCTCCAAGTTCTTCTGCAGGGTCTGATTTTCAGACTCTAAATCCTGGAGCTCGCTTTCCAACTGCTGGATCTTCTTGTTGCTGTTCTCCAGGGCCTTCTGGAGCCTTTGGTTCTCCGTGTCCAGCCCCTGGTAGCTGACCTCCAAGCGTTCAGTCTTCTTGAAAGAGGCTTTCATCAGCTCCAGGCTTTTCTTCAGTTGCTCCTTTTCGCTCTCCAGCTCTTTATTTTCCAGCTGCAGCTGTGCCACTTTCATGCTGGTGCACTTCAAGGATTCGATTGTCCTCCTCAACTCCAAGTTCTCCTCGTCGAGCTGGGCGTTCTCCTTTTCCAGGGATTCCAGCTGGAAGGTCAGGTTCTTGAGGCTGTCCAAGGTTTTTTTCAGCTTCCTGTTCTCCGTCTCCAGGTCCGAGTTCTCCTGTTCCAAGGCCTCGATCTTCTCGCAGGTGATTTTCAGGTTGGTGATTTTCTTCTGCAGCAGCTCGTTCTCCTTCTCCAGCCGGTGCAGCTCGTTCTCCAGCTCCTCTGCCCTCTCCCCTTTCTCTTTGTAGTGCTCCAGTTCTTTCCTGACTTGTTTTTTCTCAAACTCCATCTTGTTTAGCTTGCTGCTGGTCTCCTTAATGGACTCGTGGAGGATTTTGTTCTCCTTCTCGATCTCCTTCATCCTGGCCTCGGCGCTGATCTGCGAGCGCTGCCTGAGGGAGGCCACGGTTTGATTCAAGTGCTCATTCTCTTGTTCTAACAGTTTAATCTGATTTGGGGGAGAAAAACGGTGAGCTGGTGAGCAGCAGGTCAACAAGGAATTGCTTCATTCATAAACTGAAAGCTACTAAGAGAAGAAAATCCCATTTCCCTTTTGAGTTAAAAAACAATCCCTTTCTACTCTACTGGTATTTCTTTGAGGAATCATAAACATTATATATGTACCCAGGCGGAAGTTTGACAACAAATAAGTCACACTGAATCTTCAAATCTCTTCTTTAATATTAACACACAACATAAACCCCAAACTTAAACTTGGGTTTGATTTGTGCTTTTTTTATCTGTGTCTCAGCAGAATTGAATTTTTCATTTGTGGATGACTTGGATTTAAATTATTTTTCTTAACCTCTGTGATTCCCAGCGATGTGTGAGCACAAAGAACTGGAGTCAAGCTCTAAACCGAACCTGAGATGGAGGGAGGTGTGGGAGCCACCAAAGTGGCTTTATTTCCTTAGGGAAAAGCAGAGGTG